GGGGGGGGGGAAAAAGAAGAAAATAGTAAAACTTAGCTGTCTCAGTCATCCCAGTGCAGCTGTGTTGGTGCTGGATGTCAAAAAAGCATCCGATGTATGTTGCCGGGTTTTCTTTGGTGGCTCTTCTATAACGGTGATTGTCCAACGCGAGGGTTTTGGCATACTTCAGCAGAATCAAGAATGGTTCTTTCTCTCAATAGATGTGATGCAGACCCATCAGCCTTAGCCAACTATGTTGTGGCGTTGGTCAAGAAAGACAAGCCAGAGAAAGAGCTGAAAGCTTTCTGTGCTGATCAGCTGGATGTCTTTCTGCAAAAAGGTACTGTGCTGTCCACTGTCTGTTCAGTGGTTTTCATTTCGCTGGGGAAGAGGAGGGAGGAGAAAGGATAGTGCATCATTGTTGCCTTCAAAATATTTCTTGTTACCTGTGAATTGAATATTTCTTACAGAGTGTGAAGGAATAAATATCTTGTGATTTTAAAAAAAAAAAAAAAAAAAAAAAAAGAAAATGTTAAGACAAAGTTGTGTAGCTTGGTCTTGTTCATGATGGGTGGGAGGAAATCCTCTGAAATAAAAGCTAGCAATTTGATTTTAAAGTATCAGTCATGCTGCCAGAAGTTTCTCTGACAGATATTTGATAACTTTTGAAAACCTGGCTCATATTAATCTTTCAGGCTTCTGGTGAGCTTTCCATAGCAATTTGGTTCCAATTCAAGGTTTTAAATACTTGAAGTTCTGACACTCACTGGGAAGTTATTGTGCTTTTTTTTTGTGATCTGATGTTAAACTGATGATTAGTCTTTGTGAATGATTTACTCTCATAGAAATTGCTGTAAAGAGGCTGTTAACTGTAGCTAATGGAATAACTGTGGACTTATTCCTTCATCATAAGTTTCAATCAGGTAAATGTGATTGAAGGAAAAGTCTCGGTTTCTGTCTTTGATATGCCTGATTAATTTCTTTGTCTAAATAAACAACCTCAAGTTCCACAAATGTCATTCCAGCTCCTTGAATGGAGTTCAGTGCTTCATTAATCTAAGATGATGATGATGATGCTGTGAGCAGTTCACCTGGATGGCTTTTTTCAAGGACTTCTCTGATAAATCTAACAGTGCCCTTAAATCAATATGTAACAATCTTTTCTTGTGTTCTGTGTCCTCAGAAACTTCAGGGTTTGTAGATAAACTTTTTGAAAGTCTGTACACAAAGAGTTATCTTCCTTCTCTTGAACCCACAAAAGTAGAAGCAAAGCCTGCAGGTCAGGAAAAAGAAGAAGTCAAGGAAGAGGTAACACTTTTTCTGTCTACCTGCCTTTAATTTTCAAATTGCCATCCCATACATTTGAGGGAAAATGTGAAAGAAAAATCGACTTTATTGTGACTTTGTGATCTCTGTGCATCTGAAAAAAAATGGAAAATGACCATTCAGACAAGAACATTTTAAAATCCCTTTTTAGAGTCTACCTTTGAGCTAGATTAATAGCATTCAGAAATCCTATTCAGACGTCCCTGGCAATACGAGCTGATAGTCATTTAGTAGAAGGGTTTATGAGAAGGGGAAGAAGCAAAAACATTTCCAGTTTTGTATATTCTGTGAGGAATAGAAATATGCTGAGGACATGAAATACGGTGGCCTCTATATTGAGGGATAATTCCTCTTAAAAGTGAGGCAGTATTCATTTGCCAACAGTTCTTTCTTTTATTTAGTTTTTAAGTTTTATTGACAAAATTGAAAACAATCAAGTTTTTGGGAAAAGTAAAGTATTTCCACAGTTGTCTAAATATCTTTTTGTATATTGTATAATCCTCTGCTATCACTTGTCTAAGATAAATGGTTTTTTACTTCTAAGTTGGTGATTTTCCAAGGGAAGAGAATGTGTTTGTAGCATCCTAATGTACCAGCTTTGAGAGAGAGTTGGGGAAAAAATTGCTATAGAAGTAAACATTCTTTATTTCCGTATACTCTGATCACAGTTTGCAAAGAGACTTTAGGTTGAATATGTGTTTTAATTACTCTAGAAAAGATGCAAATAAAACCAAAGAGCATATATGAAATTCTAGTTCTTTCCCCTCACTCCAGGGATGTGTATGTCATGCAGTGTTAAGAGCAAAAACTGCTTCTCTCTTTATAAATGGATCATGGGGAGCATTTTTTTCTGACAAGTACTCTAAATGGGCACTCAGATTTGTGCTTTTGTCTGTAAGCCTAAAATAACATGAAGGAAAGACCTTGCTGGAGTTATTTGTTCTGTCTTCAGAGTTAAAACTGGCTGATGGTCATAAAGGTGACAAATAATTGCAGATCAAAATCTGTCAGTCAACCCAAATAAAGCTGTATTATATTGTGGAATGCAGATCCTTATTTGACAAAACATGATTCATCAGTTGAATTAAATGAAAGTTGCTCTTTAGCTTCTTTTCTCTCTTTTCTGATGTTCTTTTTTATCTGAGCATGAGACCCAGAATTACAACAATTTGTGGAAGTAGCTTTGGCGATGGAAGTTCGTAATTTTCAACTATACAAGACTGCCACTTTAATAGTTTTCCAATCCGTTCTCAAAGTACTATCATAATTTATTAAAAGTGTTTTAGAACTACCTTCAGATGACTTAACCAGTGCTCTGGTTGGGGGAAAGGGTTTTGGGGTTTGGAGAGTGGGGGACAGGGAGAAGGCAAAAGAAGATATCTAGGACCGCTTTATGGGACAACTTTACAGGACCAAGATATTAGTTAGTTCAACATCAGTAAGGCCTTGATGATTTGTCATACAGCTCAGTTATTACCTGATTCCTCGTGGAGGACATAAAATAAAAGCAGTATAGAATCATAGCTAAGTCAGGGTTGGAAGGGACCCCAGTTACCATGTGATGCAACTTGTGTTGAAAGCAGGGCCTTAGGTAGGCTATCCAGAGCCCTATCAAGCCAAGTTTTCACAGAATCGCAAGGGTTGGAAGGGACCTTGGGAGATCATCCAGTCCAACCCCCCTGCTAAAGCAGGCTCTCCTAGAGCATGTTACACAGGACTTCGTCCAGGCAGGCTTTGAATATCTCCAGAGAAGGAGACTCCACAACCCCCCTGGGCAGCCTGTTCCAGTGCTCTGTCACCCTCAAAGTAAAGAAGTTTTTCCTCATGTTCAACTGAAACCTCTTATGTTTCAGTTTGTGCCCATTGCCCCTTGTATGTCTACTAATTCTCCTCAGATAATCCTAAACAAGGATGCGGAAAGCCTTCCGTTTTGTTTTAATTGGAAAAAGTCTTTTAAAGATTATTGCATGTAAACTTTTGCCACCAAAATTTACAGTAACTTCTAAGCAGTGTAAAATGGCAGCAAAGGCAGCAAAAGTTCAAAATGGGTTCAAAGTGATTTACGGTAGTGGTATAGCTGACAGACTTCTAAAACTGCTTTTGTTGAGGCCAGCAAGAAATGTGACTAGTTCAACCATGTAAGCGGTTTTTTGCTTTAAAGCATTTATTTCAAAGTGTGAACTAGTGACGTATCTACTTGGAGAAGTAACTCTCCTTAGTTCTGTTCCAGTTACAAGATTCAGAAAATGCCTCGTTTGTAGAATCTAACTTAATGAGACAGAAAGTGCATAGAGAACTTATCTTTCATGAATCCTGTTTAGAAACAAAGTATCAAAATGTTTTTATTTTGGGGCATCTCCTCTGCAGAAAAACCTGACAGATTTGAAGTGAAAAGCCCAACAACCTCTAGTGCTTGATTACTTGTAGTGCTTAAGTATTTTGTGCAAGTAATACTTAATATTGTTTTTATACACGATGCTAACTAATTTGAACTAAATCTTGATCTTTTCTTCATTTAAAAAAACCTGATACTTATCCTTGGTTGGTAGTTGTCTCTTAAGCAAAATTTTCAAGAGTCAGCTGAAGAAGAGCGGGATAGCAGGAAAAAGAAGTATTCCAGTCCGCAGAGAAGCCGTGCAGATTCCAGTGAACGAAGGTTAGTTTTGAACCAAAATATTAATATATTCTTCTGTATTTGTTGACAATATTTAACTGTGGATTTTTACCTCGTAGGTAGTGATTTTTCGTAAAAATAGTGATTTCCTCCCAACTTTTCTCTACCTGCAATGTATTATCTGTATGCTGATCATATGTTTTGGTCACCTTAACTTTTTCACCTTTCCAATTTTTCCTAGTCCTCCTCTTGTTGGTTTCTACAAATGAGTGATTCAACTTTGAGATTCTGTATTTTTCTATGTAATTGGGGAAATTCTGACTCGAATGCTTCGCTGTCCAAATTGGATGGGAAAGATGAATAGTATCTTAACTTGTTGCAAGCTTGTTTTTAAATTTAGTTTATCTTTTCATAACGTGGTCTGCATATGTCTTTTCTAGAACCAGAGACAAAAAGAGAGATGATGGGAAATGGAGGGACTATGACAGATACTACGACAGGAGTGACTTGTACAGAGAGAAGTCTGGCTGGCGACGTGGCAGGAGTAAAAGTCGTAGTAAAAGCAGGGGGTTAAGTCGAAGTCGTAGTCGCAGTAGGGGTAGAAGCAAAGACCGTGATGCAAACAGAAATGTTGGTGAGTACCCAAGGTGCTGCTTTAGGAGAACATCTGACATCACTGATGTGTGGTGTCTCCTATTTGCTGTATGGTACAGGAGGCTGTAGATGTGTTGAGCACTTGGAGCAAATTTTGAGAGCTTTGTGTTCCTGAAATTATTAATTAAAATGCTGTTCTTCAGAGTAGAACAATTAAGGGGATTGTTTTCTTCTTTGCTAACTTCTTAATTTATCCACAGGTGTATACCAGTGGATATCGGTAGCTGATCTTGTTGTGCTGTGTGTGTTGGCAAAGCTGTTGATTATTTTTTTTTTTCCCCCCAGCGATCTATCTTTTTGCAAAATCATGTTACCATCTTTTTCACTTTGTTACTGTGTATTTTTTTAGAGAAGGTTTCTTTGTAATTGAAGTGGTTGCCATGTGATCCATTGTTCTTTTAGGGCTAATTCAGTCTGCTGGAAAAATAAGAAGCACAGAGTACAACAGATTTCAACGCTTGTTGAGTCCACATTAGTTAAGGGCAGGGGGGAGGTTTGTTGTTTCAGGCTTTCCCCCCCCTCTTTATACTTTAAAAGAGAAAGCTGTAATCCAGAATGGAATAGGGAGTAGAAGAATAAATGTGTGTTTTGCAAAGAAAACATTCAGATTTCTGAAGTTAAAACCCTGTTTGCATTATATTTAGTTCTTATTCCATTGGTAAGACTGAGTTCCTTCAGGAACAGTTTAATATGCAGAATAATGAATATTTAAGGAAATATTTGTACTGTTGTGTATTATTTTTTTCTCAAGGCTCTGATATACAGAACAAAGCATGAAGGCTTTACCTAACTTTATTTTTTTTAAACAGAACACCGAGAGAGATCAAAATTCAAGAGTGAAAGGAATGATGTTGAAGGCTCATATAATCCAGTTTCTGTGTCTCCCAGTAAATCTACTGAACAGTATTCCTCTGCACAATCTATTCCCAGTGCTGTTACTGTAATTGCACCTGCGCACCATCTTGAAAACACAACAGAGAGCTGGTCAAATTACTATAACAATCATAGCAATCCCAGTTCATTTGGCAGAAACCCTCCTCCTAAAAGAAGATGTCGAGATTATGATGGTAAACTGTTTCTTAGTTTTCTGTTTCATACCTTGTTTCAATTATTCTGCGACCTTTGGGGTTTTTTAGGTATTCACTAAATAGCATGTCAACATGCAGTAGCATGTGGAGTTATACATTGTATGTAAAAGATGCATGTATGACCTGTATTGTACTGGGGAAATAACTAGTCTTACTGGAAGCAGTTTACTTATAATCTGACAGTTGCTGGATAAGAACATATGGAGTTTGTTCACAGTTCTGTATACGCTTGGCAAATATTTCAACCACTGGCAGTTCTGATAAAGTTTGCAGTGTATGTGTTTAATATAAAACAGGTGGTACTTCTGACCTTTTTTCCCCACAGCTTTTATGATGGATGCATGCTTGTTTGTATGCTTTTATGGAACAATATTCTAACTTGAATTATTTTGAAACCTCATTAGTTGGATTAGTGATTGCATGTTTTCTTTAGTAAGGAATTTCAGCACAAACTGAGATGCTACGAATCGCTTTTTTTTTTTTTTTCTAAAAAGATTATTAAATGTCCTGTTTTGCAGAGCGAGGATTTTGTGTACTTGGTGATCTTTGCCAGTTTGATCATGGAAATGATCCCTTAGTAGTAGATGAAGTTTCCTTGCCAAGTATGATTCCTTTTCCTCCACCGCCTCCGGGACTTCCTCCTCCTCCTGGTATGCTTCTGCCCCCTTTGCCAGGTCCAGCTCGTAATATGAGGTTGCCAGTTCCGCAAGCTCATCCACAGGCACCACCTCCTGTTGTGCTTCCCGTACCAAGTAAGTCAAAACATTGTTCTGTGTTTTTGTATGTTACCAAGTTAAAATGATGGAAGATCTACATGTATTCAGAGAAATGAGTTCAGGTTTCTTTGCTAGCCATGTGATATTCAAAATACCTCCAAAATAATTCTGAAAAATCAGCTTGTAAAATAGGATGTTCCTAGCACTCCAAATTGAATTAGATAAATTGGGCAGGGAAGCAGGGGTGGATATCTTCCAGATTATCTCATAACCCTGTTGGTGTTTGGATTGATCACTGACAATTGGATTACTAGGTGGCTTTTTTTCCCCTAATGCAAAAATGTTGAGATTTAATCTCCTAAAAGTTCTAATAAATTTCTGTTTGTGCTGTATTATCTGCTGCTAAAAAGCAGTGCAGAATTGGTACATCTAAGATCTATTTTAGCTCAAGAGTGATCTCTGATGTGTTTTGCCTTTTTTGTTATCTTACTGCATCTTAAAGTGTAAATTCTATGAAGAAATAGAATATGAGATGTGGGCTTAACTCTGTTTCAGTACTCTATTCCAGTAACATAATACTGGCTGCAATATTTTTATGAAATAGCAGCAGCTATGGGATGAGAAATAATTTTATATAGGATTAACCCTAAACTTTGCATGAGCCTTTTAATAGGTGGAATTGGCGTGATATTGAGTGCACCAACAGTGTTCTGTGATTGCAGTTGTGTCTTGAGAGGTTGAACTCATTGTCCTTTTTTGGCCACGTAGTAAGTAGGAATGTGTATTGTATATGGTGCAAACAAAGCAAAAATAGCTAAATAAATCCCTTGTCTGTGAACTCCTTTTGCCCTGTAGTTCTTGTTTTAAAACTGTGATCTAAATGTGGTTGATAAGATCTCTTGCTCTGAGCAAGCCTTGATTCTCCATGGCAGAGCTGAGGGAGGAGCTGCTTCAGTCAATGCAAGCTCTAACAATAAGAAACCTCTGGAGAAGAAAAGACACTTTTTTTTGTTTTGTTTTGGGTTTTTTTTTTGTTTGTTTTGTTCCTATCTGGGAAAGAGAAAAGGCGTTGGAATCAGAGTAACTTACCTGAACAGGGCTTCTCAATTGACTTTTACTGTAGTGGGATTGTAAATATTTAGAATCTTGACCCCACTCAAAGCAAGGCATAAACAAACTGCATTGAATTGTTTGCACATTTTATCTGTGGAGTTATAAGTCTTAGTGATCTATTCTGTGGTGTCATTGTAGGACCACCTTTAACACAGTCAAGTTTGATAAATAATCGTGACCAGCCTGGGACAAGTGCAGTGCCCAGTCTTGCACCCGTAGGAGCAAGACTACCTCCTCCTTTACCCCAGAACCTACTGTATACAGTATCAGAACGTAAGCAAATACCTTTTTTTACAATCTGTTTGAAATATACATTTTAAAATTCCTCTGTTGATGTGTGATTAAAAATTATTACCTTTATCTTCCTCTGGTACATACCAATCTAAAAAGAAGTCTGATGGCTTTCCTGGTGGTCAGTCCATCATCTGCTGTTACTGTGTGAAATAGCAGTAGTGTTGTGTCCCTGTCTGAGGAAAAAATCATTTGTGAGGAGCTTTGGGTTTCATATGCTCAAAGCAATAGGGTTGTTGCATAAGAAAGGGATCCCTTCATCGTCAAGCTGTTTAGTAGAACATTAGTAGGCAAAAGATAGATCTGCATACCTGTAATTACTATTTAACTTGGTCTTTATTTGTCTCCGGTTTTGGCTACTGCGGATGAGAAAGTTTTTGGGTTGGGTTGTTGTGGGTTTTTTTCCCCCAGCTGTGTATCAACAGTTTCTACAATCTTCATATACATTAGTACTTTCTCTCTTTTTTTCCCCCAGAATCTCCTTAATTCTAGCTTTCTAACTTTTAAAAAAAATGGATGGCTTTCAATGCCATGTTGGACACGTCCATCGTTCTTAACAGAGCTCAGATTTTTTAAAAGTGGGGTTTTTTGAAGGGAAATAGCGAAACACCTGGAGAGTCCTAGATTGCTCAATTTAAATCCAACAAAACTTATGTTTCTTTGATAACAAAAGGAGTAATGGCATTTCCATGTTTTATATGAGCAAAATAAGATAATTAAATCTCAGTGTTTTATCATATTCCCATCTGGGTTTTTTTACATAAATATTTGAATTTTAGTCAAAGGAGGGCTCTAGTTCATGATCCATGTAATTTCCTTTGACTTCCATGCTTTTCAGAACTTCAGTCACTCAAATACCTTGTTAGATAATCTGTTCAATTATCTCCAAATGCTGTCAGGCATTTAGATGTTGTCATCTGATTCTTTGAGCTTCAGAACGTCTTCTAATGGGTGATTCTGTCTGTCTTAGCTCACAGGGCATCACCGACTTCAGTTGCACTATGTAATTCTGTTCTCCAGAACATCTGTGGAGATTCTCATGTCCTGTTCTTGGACTGTTATGGTAGCAACTCCTGGTTGCCCTCTTTCAATCAATCACATGCCAAAGTATGGAGGAGGAACTTGTGGTTCAGCTTGTGCAAGGTTAATGAAAGTTCTTTGCAGAGTCTGAAACTAAACTGTAAAACATCAGTATTGAAATTCTGGGGCATCTGTTTTAAATTGTAGGTCTTCATTTTTGATGTGGAATAAGGAGCTGAAATTTAGCATTCTTCAAATCTGTCCGCTCCCCTTGTATAGACATTCATTTCTGTTCCAGGATGTACTGTGTTTCTGTGGAGGCTTTTCATAGACTTTATTCATCCTAGTCCTTGTATAGCTTTTCCTTTTTACGATTGGAAAAATGCATCATCCTTGGTTTGGACCTTGGGCTGGAGGAACAATGCGAGTCAATTCTGTCATCTTGTGTTCTCATGGTTACCCCTTTTAATTAAAATAATCATTAATACCTTACTGAAGCTAAGCAGTTGATCTCACTCTTACATAAATTAAGAGGATTTAATAGGTAAGTATTGGTGAAATTACCTGATTTCTCAGCTTTCTTTGATTGGAATCATTTAAGTATGTCCTTCCCCAGAAATCCTTTTCTGAAGTAACCTAGACTGTCTGGCAGCAGAGACTGAAAATCTCTTTGCATCTTAGGCTCTGCGGAATAAATGCTCAAACTAAATCTTTTGTTGCTCCCCTTGAAGCACTGTCAGACATGGTGAAGGTTGTCATATAGGCACCTCATTCCTTTCTTTAGGCAGCTCATCAGCAATACTCAATTATTGTGACATACATGCTTTTGACAATCAGTAACAATCAGATTAAAGAACAAAAGGGAATACGCCCAAATAGACTTGGGCGTAAAGTTCAGCTGAGGGGTTTAAATGGCTACACACATTGGCTGTACAACCTCTTTTCTCTCTTCTCTTCATCCAAAACAACTTCCGATTCTTGGACATCCATGCATTTCCTTAAAGGAAAATTAACCCTGAGTCTTAAACTCATTTGAAAAATTCTTTCATTTCTCTCCTTTTTTTATAGATACATATGAGCCAGATGGCTATAACCCTGAAGCTCCTAGTATTACCAGTGCTGGTAGATCTCAGTATCGACAGTTCTTTACAAGAGCACAAACGCAGCGTCCAAATCTAATTGGCCTAACATCTGGGGAGATGGATACAAATCCAAGAGGTAGGAAGGGTTTCTAGTCATTGCTGTTGCTATTTTTGTCCAAGACCGTCAACACTTATTTTCCCCTTTTTCAGGCTGAAGGCAATAGTTTTTCTCGCTGATCTAGTATTTCAGAGCAATTTTCAGACATCTCTACCTTTTTTTTAAAATGCTAATATGACCATATTAAAGTCAAAGCAGCCTTTTTGATTAAAAATAACCACTTGCTTGGGAATGTTACAAGGGGGTTTTTTTTGGTTGGTTGGGGTTTTATTCCTCTTTAGCCTGTGAAGGCACTTTTTGGGTGCTGGGTGCTTCTAGAAAGAAAAATGGTGCAGAAAGATGGCTTTAAGCAGTACAGTCTGAAGACTGCTTTTGATTTGCCAAGGGTATGTTTAGGACCTGGGGTGCAGAGGTGATGATCTACAATACTTGCTTCGGCTGTTGTGATGGTAGTGAAGAGGGGAACTATCATGGCATGGTTTTGTACTTGATGGGCTGACTCTCTCAGCCAAATGTTCTATCTAAAATGAACTTTGCAGGTAGCATTCTAATTCTCCTAGCACATGGAAATCCCAGTCTCCATTTAAGTAATTCTGAATCCTTAACTGGATGGATGTGGATGTAGTCTCTTAGTGGTGACGTGCAAAATATCTTTTAGGGGAGAGAAAAAGTGAAGCCTCTTTAAAGCAATTTTTGTTCTGTTAGCGTAGCTTTCTTTTTCCCTCCTGCTTTCCCCACCCCAATCCTTAAAAGAAAAGATGTTAAATTTCAGTGCTTACTGGTACCCTTCAATGTTTCTTACTCAGTAGATAAGAAAGATATTTTTTTTTCCAAATATTTCCTTCCAGTGACTCATCCTATAAAGGACATGGTTAAATATTATTGCAGAAATTGATGTTGCTGTTTTCATCTTAATGAGCACCATAAAGGCAGGGTTGGGGCTTTATTGCTGGCCCTCAGATTCTCTCTAAGAACCCATTCGTTGTAAGGCATGGGTGAGTGTTCGGCAGTGATGCTTCAGACCACTTGATTTGCTGTCTTTGTCATGCGTGTGAAAGAGTTACTCTAAAATCATCCTCCGAAGTAAGATTAAAACTATGCCTGAAAATGCCCAGTCTTTGTTCTCACCAGTGTAATCAGCAGAGCTCTGGCATATATAAAAGCCACAAAAAATTGACTTACAATTCAGACTTCTTTTTAGGAGTTGAATATTTGGCATACTCAGGAGACTAACAGCAATAGCATAATCTTAAAAAGGTTGTAAATAAATATTTGGCAAACTGTGATCTAGTGCTTTAGCTTTGTGTTTGTAGAAGTTGCTTCAAACTTTTACATCTCTGAGAATATAATTTCATGCCATAGTTGTGCTTAATTAACAGTTTGTTACTGAAAACTGGATGGAGGGATGACAAGGGGGATAGCAGTGGGAGGAATGGGTTCTGGATTGCTTTTTCACAGTCAAGGGAAAGTTTATTGTTTATTCAACCCATGCCACATTGCAGAACCTGAAGTCTGGGACTGGGGACCTAGCCTTGTTTCTTTTCCTCCTTTTTTTTTTCCTTTTCTTTACTTTTTTTTTGCTCTTCTTTTTTCCTTTTTTTTTTTTTTTTTTTTTTTTTTTTTTTGCTCTTCTTTTTTCCTTTCTTGTCTTTTCTTGCAGAATCTGAATTTTCAGTACCTGAAAGATGAAGTTTTAGCTTTGTTTCTTTGAGCTGATGCTAATCTTAAAGGTCAAAATCTCATCCCTGCTGGCTGGACTAAATGTTTATTTTCCTCAGATTGTTTAGTTAGGCTAGCAAGTGATCTCTGAAGTAACGTCATAAACAAAACTGACCAACTTGATAAAGTCTTCCTAATTTTGATGTTTCTAAACTCAATCCTATTTTGCTGTTTAAGTGAAAACTTTTCCGATGTCTCCATTGATGAATGGTGAATAACATGGGCCTTTTTCCTTTCCTCCAGCTGCCAATATTATCATCCAGACTGAACCTCCCATTCCCATTACAAATAATAGCAGCAACGTAACTAGAGTTGTCCTTGAACCAGACAGCAGGAAAAGATCTCCAAGTAACATGGAATGTCCGCCATTAAAGAAACCGTGGCTGGGAAAGTAAGAATTAACAACTGCAGTTGACTAATTGGAATGCACATTATTGCTATCAGTGCTGTGAATATCACTATTCACCAGTCCCTGTAATTTGAGCTGATTGGGTCAGGAAATCTGTGTCCATGTGATACGGAGACTAAATATTTTGTGGTGGGAGGAGCTCTTTTTTGTTAATATCTAGAGGGTATACTTTTACTGAGAAAAATGAAAGATAAATGTGCATTTTACTGAGAAAAATGAAAGATAAAAGTGCGTTAACATTTGCTGCCTTACTTAAGTACATGTTTCCCTATCTAAATTACTATCTTGTTCTCATTTTTTTCTAGGCAAGCAAATAACAACCAGAATAAGCCAGGATTTTTGAAAAAGAATCAGTATACTAATACAAAATTAGAAGTTCGAAAAATTCCACCAGAATTGAACAATATTACACAGCTCAATGAACATTTCAACAAATTTGGAACTATTGTAAATATTCAGGTAAAAAATAAAGTTCAGTTTTATGCCTGTATGTGGGTATTTTATTTTCCCTGAAGCCTTCTTGAATATTGCGGCTGAACTACATTCCTTGAGAAATCTTAATGGAGGCTAGCTGGGAGAGTAGGAAATCAAATTCAAACCTTTTCTTGGTCTACTCCTTATTATTATCTTAATTCTGTAAAAATATGTTGGCTTCTGCCTCCATATGAGGTCTTATTAAATTTGAAAGGCTTGCAGGTTTAACAGTAAACCAACTCAGGTTTCTGAGCAACTTGTGTATAATTTTTGAAAAATATCTTCAAACAGTTTGTCTTGTATGATAGTCCTACAGTATTTCATAGTCAGGATTTTGACAAAGATGCTACAGGAGAGTCTTTATATGCATCAGTTTATTACCACTTTGCATCCTAGAACTGCTCAGTTCAGTGGTGTTCCTTGCACTGTAAGAAGGGGAAAAGCACTATATAAGCAAAACACAGGTAGTTACGTGATTTAAAATAGCATTTAATTTCCATTTATTTTTCTAGACAAAACAGTTGCCTCTTAAGTCCTCAATTAGAGGTCTAAATAAGAGAGATATCTGGGAAGCATCTATGTTTCTTGAGTTGATAATTTTATGTCTTAGTATGTTTTAAATGCATTATTTCATTATTGAAGTGCAGAAAGCACCACAGTATCTTTTGGGCTATCTCAATCATTATACTAGAAACTCCAAGATAAGTTTTTATTCCTGTGATTAGTTTTTAGAGGAAAAAAATAGTCTTATTCAAGACTGTTAAGATAATGCTTCTTTGAGAATATGGTGAACATTTGCATTGTACATCCTGGGACAGCAGTCTTCTTTCAGGAGATTAGAATAAAGAACTCTCAAGTCGGCATTAGGTTGTCTTCAGTCATACCCCAGTGGCAGTTCGCAGCACTGTGAATATGTGATACTATTTGGTGGAGGAGTCTCTTTTAATTTTATTTTACGGTGTATAGGCTTTGCTGCAAGTACATGTAAGATTTGCCAAAAGGTACTTGGCTTTAACTACATAGAATGTTTTACCGGTGTTTTGAGCTGTTAATACCATTGGACATCTCACTCATTATTGCAGATTATTTGTCGATTGGTTTGCTACTGGTTGAGTTGTTTTCTTCCTTGAGAAATAATATATTCTAATGAACTTTTGATTTAGGTTGCTTTCCAGAATGATCCTGAAGCTGCTCTAATTCAGTACTTAACTAACGACGAGGCTAGGAAGGCAATTTCCAGCACAGAGGCAGTTCTGAACAATCGGTTTATAAGGGTACTGTGGCACAGAGAAAGTGAACAGCAGTCCCCATTGCTGCAGCAGCAACAGCAGCAGACACCCACACAGTCTCTTCATCACCAACTTCACCTTCAGCAGCAAGCCCTGACCACAACTCCACCTGTAACAATGCACAGCAATCTGTCAAAGGTATTGTGCTATCGTAAACTAGCGATTGAGCGGTGAAGGTTATCAGCATTCCTAAATGACTGCTACTTCAAAAAAGCAGAGTATGTAGTCTTTTTCATTTTTTTAATATCTATTGATACACAGGTGATGAATAAACCACTGGCATCTGGTGCCTATGTCCTCAATAAAGTCCCAGTGAAACGTCGCCTTGGAGCAGCAGGTGGAAACCAGCCTGACTTAAGCCAGTCTGGGGCTGTGGTAGAGGATTCTCAGGTAAGTTTACAAAGGCTGACCATCTTCATACTTCCACTTAAAGCTCTGGCCTGTTAGCTAGGAAGGAACTAGCAAATAGAGCTGGTGAATTGTTCCCAGCTGGTTCTGTTTCTTTCCACCAGTGTTCTATGCAACCATGGTCAGTTGCTTCTTCCTAGTTTCATTAGTTGTTTATATAAAATTAGAATACTGATACTTTGTTTCTGAAGTCCCTAAGTAGCATAAAATAATTCTGGCAGTGCTTCACAGAGAACAAATTTGAGAGCCTGTATATGCTGTCAGCTTTTTGTTGGTGAATCTAATTGCTTTCCCAGTGATTTTTGAGCTGATGCTGTGCTTTAACAGTAGTGCTAGAAGCTTATAGAGTATTTCTGCATAGAGTTTAAGCTGATACAGTTTAATTCACACTGATATCACAGTGCAGCATGTGTTCTTGGTCACAGAGAAATCCTTTTAAGAAAGGAAGTATGCAGGTGAGTTGCTGCCTTATTTGATAAGAAAGTGTGATGTTAGACCATGACTGCGAAGCTGAATGTAATGCAGATGCAGATCAGCTTCAGTGGTCGTCTTACTGGATATCAGGATACAGATGGAGTTTTGGATGAAGAAGGAAAGAAAGTATCCTCGGCAGAAATCCTTTTAACAAGCATTTAAGCTGATTGCTTCTGAGCAAGTTGACTGTTAGACTGATGCCTTTATGCATGTGTTTTAATTGACTTGGTCTTCTTGCCTCATTGCACAAATCTGGAAGTCTGTGTTCATGTTTCACAGAATACGTTCCTCTCAAATTCCTTGATGGTATATCACATTTGTTTTAAGCTAGTACATACCTTTGTGTCTGTGTTTGTACTATTTCAGACATTTCCTACTTCTACAAGCCACTCAAAAATGGTTTACAGTTCTTCAAACTTAAAGACATCTATGAAGCCTGGTGGAGGGTCTAAACCTCACGATGTGCAAGAAGCCCTTAAAAAAAAACAGGTACTTTGCTATTCATTGGCTGACCAACAGTATAGCAATCAAAGTACTTGTTATAAAGAAAGGTTTGACAGGCAACTTAAACCTCAAATATTGTTCTATAGCTTTCTACGTTTGGGTAGTTCTTGTCATCGTTATCAGACTATCTTGCAAATGCACACTGAGGTTAATCATGGGGAAGCGCGTATTTCTTACTTGACACATTTGGTCATGTGTGGGTTTTCTGGGTTTTCTTAAGGCATTTCTCTGATTTTAATCCCTGCAGGTGTGAGACACTTAAGTGACAATGTAGGATATGTTTGTTAAGAGGTGTCTGAAGGGGGCAAAAACTTTACTAGTAGAGTACTTCACAGCAGGAAGTTAGCAACATTTTGTTGTTTTTTTTTTTTCTGGATCAGAGGGACTTTGTACTCGTGCGTTTTGCAGACTAGTAGTTTTCATTATGGCCTTCACTTCTATAGCTTGAAGAAAACATTATATATATGAGGACATATAATGCTAGAGTGCTTTTTACTGATTGAAAGAATTTTCTTCTCATATAGGAGGCAATGAAACTCCAACAAGACATGAGGAAAAAGAAGCAGGAGATGTTAGAAAAACAAATAGAATGCCAGAAAGTAAGTCTGGAATGTCTTCTAGTAAATACGTTCTGATTTTGTAGATACCTGTCTGTTCAGTGTTGTTTTTTCCTGGAATTGTATATTCTTGCTCTTCTATTCTATACGTAGATGTTGATATCCAAGCTGGAGAAAAATAAGGCCATGAAACCAGAAGAGAGAGCAGAAATAATGAAGACCTTAAAAGAACTAGCAGGAAAAATATCTCAGTTAAAGGATGAATTAAAAACTTCATCTACAACTTCTACACCATCAAAATTAAAGTCCAAGACAGAGGTATTTTTTGCGCAAGACGCTCACCCGCCTGTCTTTTGTAACTATTTCTAATATTATGTCCTAAAAATGCAACAGCATTAGATCAAAACACTTCCAAGCAGTATTTTGAATTCGAGAGTGATAACCATGGACAAGCAAGCTATGGTTTTAAGGAACTCGCATGACCTAGTTTTGCATCTAGCTCGTTTAAGCTTGTTCCAATTCTGAAGGAGAGAATTCTGGGTCCTTCAAAAAAATGGGTTTGGGGAGGGGCATGGAGGCGCAATTAAAACAAACCATTTAGAGGAAAGTATGGGTGTTGCGTGCTGATCTGTCTATGTCATTTAAATAAATGTATCGCTGAAGAAGTGGAACAAAACATTAAGAGCACACATTACACTTCTGCTTTTCTCTTCCATTTTTTGTTTCTGCACCTTTTTCCCTAAGGCACAAAAGGAACTTTTAGATGCAGAGCTGGACTTCCATAAGAGACTGTCTTCTGGAGAAGACACAACTGAACTGCGAAAAAAGCTAAATCAGTTACAAGTAGAGGTGAGTTTGCCTCGACCGATGCTTTTAATGTATTTATGATATATAAATGTTTTAAAATATTTCAAACTGAGGAATTTTTTTTGCTTTCTTCAAACAGGCTGCCCGTTTAGGCATTTTGCCTGTTGGTCGAGGAAAGACAGTGCCAGCCCAAGGAAGAGGACGAGGACGGGGTCGTGGTGGGAGAGGAAGGGGCATGTTGAATCATATGGTGGTGGATCATCGTCCCAAAGCACTGACAGTTGGAGGCTTTGTTGAAGAGGAGAAAGATGAATTGTTACAGCACTTCTCTGTAAGTATGAGGTCATGTAAAAAAAGAAAAAAAAAAAAGAAAAAGGAAAAAAAGAAAAACCCAAAGAGGAGAATTGTGGCCAAACTATAAATCTGAGATTAAGTAGGTAACCAATACCCTGGATGTGGGCTTACTTGCAAAGAGAGGCATGCAAAGAACTTTGTCAATAACTGTTTCTTTTCCAAATTCTGGAAGATGCAAGTGGTTTTGTTTCTGATAGTGCAAGCAAATCAAAAGACTTCATCCTGAATTCATGGAACAAGCTATGCATAAACAAACGGTTTCAAGAGTTATCAAGGCTGTAAATGTAATGTCTTTTATGGCTGCTTTACAATAGCTGCCCAATGCATTCTTTTAATGGGCAAAGCTTAATAGCTTACTCCTATTAATTCTGCATTAAAGTAGTTTAGAACAGACACTAGAAAGCTGAAAAATACTTATCAGCCTCTCTCTGTTTACAAATTATTTTTCAGATTAGCATTTCATACCATTTATCTTGTTTCTTTCTAGCTCAAGAAGCAAAGCACTGTTTTGCTAAACAGGACATCAATCTTTTCAAAGTAGTTACTTTTTTTTTTTTTTTTTTTTTTTTTCAAAATCATGGTAGGGCAAGTAGGGTGCTAGTTTGCAAGCTCAGTTAACAGATGTATTAGCATCATAACTAAGTTAACATAATAAAGGAAATACTGATTTTGCATTTTCCTTAATTACTCTTTCCAGAATGAAATGTTTTCATGTGCAAAGCTAGTAAATAATATTTATCTGGGGGTTTTCTACATAAATATTCTGAATTTTACTCAAAGGAGGGCTCTAGTTCATGATCCACATCACTTTCTTTGTGATTTACATGCTTTTCAGAACTTCAGTCACTCTAGTATCTTGTTAGATAATCTGTTCAATTATCTCCAAGATAATTGATAATACCTGATAATTGAGATAATATCAATAATATTATGTCTCTGATAATACCATTCTCAGAGAGATCATGTAATACTTCATAAATAGACCCAGCATGAAATCTGAGCTTGGTATTTCTGGAGGCTCCTTGCAAAGCAAGTGACTGATATGGAAAATGAATTTTGTAGAATGTTACCCTTTAGAGCTGGATACAGAAAAGCAGTAGACTTCTCGAGCGAGATGGTGATCTGAAAGCTTGTTTGTTTCTGCTTTGAGTGGGAACAGAGAACTTTATAGTTCTTCATGCAGTGGGGTAAGCTGTGCTCTGTGGGGAACTGTTACTCTCTGATTTGGCCTCATTGCTTATCAAAAGGTTAGAGGCCACTGCTACTACTTTGATTAGGTAAATTCAGTGAAAAATGTTGTGTGGTTTGATCAAGAAAACCAACCTGCTTTGAGGTATGATAACAGTGCCGTAAATCCTGGGAAAAGTCCTAAGAGGGGACCAGAGTGCCTTTTTCAAAAAGATCTTTGCTTTATTACCATTTCTGAGAGACTTCATGGTTTTGAAAGTTTTAGCCACCTTTAGCTGCTAAAACCAGTAAAAGTTTTGACAAACAACTAGTGCTGTTACTCGAGCTATTATCTTAATGGCATCTAAACTACTTTTCTTCTGCTATTCATATTAAATCTGAAGTTGACTGTAATTTTCTTTTCGACTGCTTGTACTCCATGCATAAATCCCTTTTTTATTTGTTTTAGGGTTGATGGTTTGTTTTGGGTGGTTTGTGTGGGGTTTGTTTGTTTGGTTTTTTTACTATTTAACTGTCATTGCTGTGGTCATTCCAATTTTCACCGTTATGCCATATATAAATTCTAAAAATGCAAACTTTTTGTTAATCTAGCCACACTAGATTATATTTTTTTCCTCCTCCCAGTAGAACGTATTCAGGAGCTCTATAGCAAAGTTTGATTCCTATTACTGACATCTCTTGCAAATTAATGAGCTCTAAACAACTTGCATAACAGGTCTGAAGAAGTACAACAATGAAGGGCAAAAGAGAATAAGGGAAATAGTGAATTCAAAGAAGTCACTTCTGAGCTATAAATTAATACTTATTTCCTTTCTTCCTGCAAAAATAAGCTTCACTTATTAAAATAACAATAAATCTGAGCTTTTGCTCAAAAACATAGGTACAAATACTGCAATATTGCTGGATGATGCAGCTGAGATTTCTCTGGCTCTCACTTTTCTGTCCAAAAAAATAAGGTTTCAGTGGTGTTTCAGTACACTGCAATTGTAGCACACGATCATCACGTTTTTTGAGGAGAATATTACTATTGTTCCTAATGGATTTTTCTCTCATAGAAATTTGGAGATATTGAAGACCTTCAAGAAGAGGATTCCCCATTAAGTGTTGTTCTAACTTTTAAATCTCGCTCAGAAGCTGAGAATGTAAGTAGAATAATGAATATTCTTTTTTTCACTGTTCTAAAATAAGAATTTTTAACTTCTTATGGCTGCCTTCTTGTACTTTAAAATTTAGCAGGCTTTGATCCCTCTAGTTTGAGCTAGATAGTGTGGGTAGTTGTTGCTACTGCGCATAGTGTCACTAAAGGGGGAAATACCTCCTTCCTTAGTAATAACATAGCTCTTTTGCTGATAAAGGTTCAATGTCATGGTCAGTTCAGAGCTCTGTTAATCTTTTCAGATTGCTGGTAGATGAGCATTATTTAGCAGATTCAGGTTTGAGTGAAGTTGCTGTCGGAAGACTGAAGTGGATGATTGTGGCTTTTGTTTGAGATCTTCAGATGTGCTTCTGCATGATGTTCGCTGGGTCTAGCTCATTGTTGGCAATCTTAAAAATTCTTTACTTGATCCTCTTTTTGAAAATATGTTCATTTAAAATACAATCTAGGCTGCTAACCAAGGATCCCGGTTCAAAGACCGAAGGCTACAGATATCATGGTACAAACCGAAGGTACCTTCTGTGTCCACAGAAATCGAGGAAGAGGAGCCTAAGGAAGAGGTATGAAAATATGTTGATAACCTAATCGCTCTTCTGGGAATCTAATAGCTAAGAGCTCTTTTAGAATACAGTTTTCTGTTTACTGAAGAAATTTCATAAAACACATTTTTGCAAAACAGAAACTTAACTGGTTTTGAATAGTCAGGTATGTTTTCCACATTTTTAAAAAGGGAAAAGAAATAAGAAAATACATTTTCTGGATGGGACGTTGATTTGTCAACTATGAAAATAAACTTCACATTCTCTATATGCAGGCTGCTAATCTTCTTACTTCACAGTATTAATGCTCCACCGTGGGATAAGTTACATATATTCATTCATGTAATTATGAACACATTAAGCATTTAAAGGTTTTTTTCTGTCCAGGCATTTAACAGAAAACTGTTGTTTCAGAGAGGGTGGGTGGTTGTTTATTTCTGCTTGCTTTGAAGTTTGGCTTTCTTTCCCTTTCTTGATGTATGAGGCCACCGTTCTTTCTGTAAAACTTGTTGAATGTAATTGTGTGTGTTTCAGTGAGACGTATGGTAAACAAGAACCTGATATAAACTACAACTGATGCTGTGTTGCATGGCATGTTTCCTAGGATACAGCATGGAACTTCTTTGTTTAAAAGTACGGGTTTTTTTTTCTCTGTCTAGGAGACTGAAACCTCGGATTTATTTTTGCACGAAGATGATGATGATGATGACGAAGATGAGGATGAATCCCGTTCTTGGAGAAGATGAAACTTGATATTGGAAATGTATAATTTTAGGAATATAGTTCAAGCTACATCTTTTAAACATTTATTTAAGGAAGTTGACGAGCCAAAAAAAGCTTTACTTTCTTTTCAAACCACACGATTTAAAGTGAGCGAAGTTTGTTACAAAAACATTTCGGATATAGAGCTGTGATACTAAGCTAGCCAAAGGCCCAGTAACTTTTTACATAATTATCAAGCTCACCAGGGTGGTGATTTTTTTTCTATTTAAGAAGGATAAAAATGGGGGGGGGGGGGGGGGAATTAGTATTTTCTTGTCCTCTTTTTGTGTCACCTGTGTTACCTTGTTTTGGTTTTTTTATAATGTGATTGATTTGTTAGTTTATAATTGAAAAGATATTACAGGTTTTATTTAGCAATATTATGGGGTTAGGGGAAAGACGCAAACTTTCATTAAATGTTATGAAAGAAAAAATTGCCTCTTGCTAATTGAAAAAGGGTAGCATTTTATTTCATATGAAATCACTTATTGCAGGAATTATTTGTGGCTAGATTCATAAATCTTTTATTTTGGTATGTTTGAAAGCCACATGGTTTTTATGTTCTGCTTTTTGTGAGAGGAGATGGAAGAAGCAATTTAACAGGGTATTATTATAATATTGTCTAGTTCACTCTGTTTCTTCAAATTCTGCTTCACAGAAAACATCAGCAATGACATGTATTTGAGTGAATTTTCACTTACTGTTGATTTTCCTCTGTAGTTTCAGTATAAGGTTCAAGTTTAAGTTAGACTGTCTGTTTACTGCATTTCAGTATTTCTGAGCATGAATGTAGTAAGTTTCATACTTCCTCAAACAGAAAAACAACTGGCAGCCGCCCACCAGCCGGTAGAAACTCTTCCTCCTCTCCCTGTTACCCAACTCTTTGTTTATGTTCAAACCAAATCCATGAAGCGCTCAGAGCAAAATGCTTTTTAGCCAACAGAATGTCAGTGTCCTGCTCAAAGACTGGCGTTAAACCAGTGCTTGAAGGGGTAAGGCTTCAGAGGAGTGTTCAGAGCTGGTTTTGGAAGGTTATTAATTTCTCTCCAAGGTAGTTTTGTTCAGACCCACTTAAGATGGTGAACACCATTACGTTGTCAGTTGCCTTACTGTTGTACTGTTTTAAACACACACACACAGACACCCCCCAGAAATGGTGTATATTCTGCTAGAAATGAGGATAACAAGTTCAGATGCTTGAGCCATGTATCTTAACTGTTACACGGCTCTTGCAGATCACGAACGTGTTACCTAGTAAGCATTTTCCTTGAGTCTGTCCATTTGTACCGTACACTTTTCAGTACATTTTATGTACGTTTCTATCCCGAATAAACAGAATGTCGGTGCAAAAATGCTCTCCTCCTTTGAATAATTAGTTTACCAATATATTTCCCAGCAAGTTCATGACTGAAGAAGTACACACATCCAAACCTTTAAGTTACAATGGCTCTGAACTTGGCTAGTGGCGTGTAGTTGAGCATGCCTTTGGGTTGACTGTTCCCCTAACTTTGTTATCCTTTTGCCGTGGTGGTCTATCAAAAGTCAAACCAGTATAATTTTCTATTTCCTTGTCAGTTGAAGGGAATATGTCTTTCAGTATTCTGTCCCTTCAAGTTGAAACCTCACCTCTCTAAATAATTAGGACTTCCCTGCTAATACTGAGGCTAAATTACAGACGTGAAGAAACGAGGGGAAACCAATCCTCCATACTTAGAAGAATGTCTTGCTTTTCTCCCATCATCTCTAATGGGTTTTTTATTGTCTGTGGCTCAGTCAGTGTATATTTTGAAAAATCCATTGCAGCAAACATATTTGAGTCCTGACCGTTTAAAAAAAAAAAAGATAGAGGGAACAAAAGGATTTATATATTTTTTTGTACAGAGTTTTTTCTTAAACTGTATAATTTTGTAAATATTTTGCTTTTTTGTGTACTAAAACTACCAGCGTGTAGATTTCAATAAGAATTGTTGTATTTTTGTATTTGGAAAATGAAAATTACAGTGAATGAATGAAGCTGTAAGAAAAATTGCAGTAGCCTTTGACACACGTAGAATGGGATTCCTTTTCATATGGTTTTAGCTCTAAAGTGGCACCTGACTGGCACACTGTGTTCAGGGACACTTGCCCTTGCCCGGACACGCTGGCTGTTTGAGTTGGACGAGGTAGGAGGGAAGCGAGTGCAGTAGCTTTATTTAATGATTTTTGAGAGCTTCATAAGATTTCTTCTTTCCCTCCCCCCCCCCCCCCCTCTCTCCCAGAGGGGGGGATATTACATAAATCCTCAAGTGACATCCCAAACGTGATTTCAAAACGCTGAGGCACAGAAGTGAGTTGGGCCTCTGAACTTAGCTTGTGTATGGAAAGAATGCGATCACATTATTGGGAATTGAAGTGATGGGCAGCGTAGCGGTATCTGACTTCTGGTGTTTAAGGAGGAGGAAAGCTGTTTGAAAGTCACCTTCCTTTTGCCAAAGCTTGCGGCTCTCCCCGTGTTAGGGTGTGCTAGGCTGTATTGAACTGTTTGGGGTTTTTTGTTTTGGGGTGGGGTTTTTTTTGTTTGTTTTAATAGGTAACATGACAGTACAGCACACTTTATTTTTATGGCAACACTTTATTGTGAAATTTCACGTGTACTTTCAGAGAGTATATTAGACAAAATTTATAATCAGCAATGTGACCTGTGTACACCGGCCAGTGTATTTACAGGTGATGTGTAATCAGATGTCACCAGTCTGAACTTAGGGTATGAACGTTGAAAGAGTACGTGATAAGGAAAGAAAGTAGCTGTTATGAAGAATTATCTCCCGTTCCTTGTTGAATTCACCTGAGCAAAAAGAACAGAACAAACTCAAGAGCTGAAAAAATGAATCTGAAAACAGTTGCCTGCTTATTGTGAAAACAACACTCTTTATTTTTAACAAAATCATGTGAAAAGGAATAAAGTTCCTCTTGGTGTATAGTAAACTTGTACTATAGTTTTTACAAATTGTGAACTTGTGTAATAGTATAATAGGAGATATTGTTGAATTTCTAACTGTTTATACATTTAAATTCATATATGTAATGTTTGTTTTATTGATTACAATCTGAATTTCTAAGATGCATGTTGACTTTTTTGCAATAAAGATATACTACGGAATGGTTCAAGATTTAGAAAAGACAAAAATCTAACTTAAATAAATTGGACAGCAGAACCATTCCAAAAAAAATTACAACTATCACAAAAAGAGCGTTATCACTTCTTTGGGGGGAGGCATATGTGTGAAGGGGGTATTTATTTGTACAGAACGTGTGTGCAAGTTTGTTAATAGCCAGGAGAAAAAAATTCAAGTGTATCTGTGCTTTGAAACAGTACTAATTAAGACAGGTAAATTGATTTGGGGCTGGGGGGGGCGAGGGAATTCCAGTAAAGGCTATTTTGTTTTGGGAAAGGTTCAAAGTTTAACAGAAAAGGAAAAATGCTTTATGGTGGCTTCCACAGTCTCTTTTACATCTTTGCAGTATTGCTGGGTTATTGAAAATAGCCTGTACAATGCATGAAATCATACACGTGCAAATACTAACCCCCTTGCAATTTGGTCTGAGAACTGATTTATTCTGTTATTAACTTCTCTCTTGGTCTTTGCTGCTTTCACTAAATTTTGTCATTCCCTTCTCTTTCCTGTGTTGCTTTTGTGAATGTAAATGTTCGTTTGGGACCCAAGATTTTTACAAGCCTTTTCTCTTGCATTCCCTTTTCGTACGTGTATTGTTACTGGGCTGTGATAAGACTTTTTTTTCTGAAAACAGACTAAAATTTTACAAGGGTGGGATTTTTTCCCCTTTTTCCTTGCTTCACCGCACTCTTGTTTTGAAAAACGGGGGCAGGAGAGGGAAGGAACTTGCTAGTATATTTAATAGCTGTATCTGTATCGCCATCTCCCTCCCATCCCTTTGTGGTCCCGCAATGTAAATGTTTTAAAATGCGAACTGGCTTTTCTGTGTTGATGAAGAGCCTCTTCGTAGTAAATGTGGGGCTTTTGGACATTTTCTCATTGCCAGTAATTGAACTTCAGAATCTTTCCACAGTCTGCTTTCCTGCCAACAACCACCAAATAATGCTCATTCTGCAAGACGCAATGAAGTCCTTTAAGGAGATGGAGCCTTGACACTGAGTAGGAAATGCTGAGCGTTCAGTTCAAGATGCTTCCTTCTTCCTATGTGGTCAAAACTAACTTTAATGGCAAAAGGGAATAAAAAGAACTTGAAAGGGGGCTAGCGTTTTTTCTGTGTGGCTTTGGATTTATATTTTTTTTTCCCCCCCAGCTGTTTCAAATATCACCTAAATGTTCCCCTGCTAAA